CTTTGTCCCCCCCATCCCACTCCTCCCCCCCCCCCCAGAAGTTGGGTGAGGGTGTGTCCTCAAAATCAGTATCTGCAGCTGCCCTGGAGAAGTCTGCATTCCCATGTTGGGACCCTGGACAGTGCCCCACCGTGAAGGCATATGACTGCAGTGCCAAATACCACTGTGTAATCCGGGGGTTCATATCCTTCATGTCCTGTAGCCATTTTAAAGGTGCATGGTCTCTGATGAGTTGGAACAGGGCTCCTAATAGGTAGTAGTGCAAGGCTTCCAAAGGTATGATGCCCAGCTCCCACTCAGAGCTGTCCAGAGTGCTGCTATTTCCCCAATCAGCCCTGAGGTCTGCCTAGGTCAAGCACCAGGAAGGAACTGACAGGTCCTGCCCTAGCAGCTCCTTTTATATCAGCCTGCTGCATCCTGATTGGCTGCAGCAAAGGCTGCCCTCTGTTCTGCCTGGAGGACCTCTCTACTGCTCCTGTTGCTGGCCAGGTTGCAGAAAGGCCTCCAGCAGACATGTCCGGCTTTGTCCACCCCATCATAGGCACCCATTCCAACCCCCTAATCATTTTTGTTGCTGTTTTTGAACCTTTTCCAATACCTATATGTCTTTTTTGAGATGAGGTGACCACATCTGTAAGCAGTATTCAAGATCTGAGTGTACCATGGATTTATACAGAGGCAATAAGATATTCTCTTATTTGCTATCCCTTTTTAAATTATTCCTAGTATTCAGTTTGCTTTTTTGACTGCTGCTGCACATTGAGGCTCTGTTTACCCGGCAGCGTATAATGCACATTTACCCAGCAGGCAGTTATTTTGACATAAAGTTGAAATGATCTTGAGCTGGAGGACTTCTTACTTCAACTTCTATAACCCTCATTTTATGAGGAGTAAAGGAAGTCAGAGGAAGAGTGCTATACTTCAGACTTCCTGCTGTATAGACAGCGCCAAATGCCAAAATAAGTAATTTCTACTGAAACCACTCAATTAACGTAGTTCAAGTTGGAGTAGATTATTTGAGCTTTAGCCCTGCTTTGTAGACATGCCCTGAATGGGTGTTTTCAGAGAACTATCCTAAATGGCTCCAAGATCTCTCTTGAGCAGTTATAGCTAAATTAGTCCCCATAATTTTGTACGTATAGTTGGGATTATTTTTCCGATGTGCATCACTTTGCATTTATCAACATTAAAACTCATTTGCTATTTTGCTGTCCAATCACCTAGTTTTGTGAGATCTTTTGAAGCTCTTTGTAGTCTGCTTTGTTCTTAACTATCCTGAGCATCATCTGCAAATTTAGACACCTCCCTGTTTACCCCTTTTTCCAGATCATTTATAAACAGGTTAAATAGGATTGGTCCCAGCACGGATCCTTTGGGGACACCACTAGTTACCTTTCTCCATTCTGAAAACTTACCATTTATTCCTACCCATTGTTTCCTGTCATTTAACCAGTTATCAATCCATGAAAAGACCTTCCCTTTTATCCCAAGACGACTAACTTTACTTAAGAGCCTTTGGTGAGGGACTGTAGTGGGGCACTATTTGGAAACCATGGTGGGGGGTGGGCGGGCACAGCTCGCCCACTTCTCAAAGTCCATCCCCCAACCCTGCAGGAGGGATGACTAGACCCAGGGTCTAACTGATTACTGGGGACAAATAATGACAAAACGGATCAAAATGTGGGGTCACAGGTTTAAAACAAGGGAACCAGATGGGGACACCAAGCAGAGAACCCCAAAGCTGTCAATGGAGCCAGTGGACGCTGCCCAGAGGAACTCTGCCCTGATACATAAAATCAAGGAGGAACGAAAGTAGGCCCCACAGTCCCAGAGCACCCCCTCATCCAGCATCCTCCTCCTGGTGGTGTAGATGGTGGCTTTTGCCAGGGCCAGGAGGAGGCTGACAAGGAGGTCTCACAAGTCAAAATGTGGGGTCACAGGTTTAAAACAAGGGAACCAGATGGGGACACCAAGCAGAGAACCCCGGACAGCACCAACAGCTCCTCAAAGCTGTCAATGGAGCCAGTGGACGCTGCCCAGAGGAACTCTGCCCTGATACATAAAATCAAGGAGGAACAAAAGTAGGCCCCACAGTCCCAGAGCACCCCCTCATCCAGCATCCTCCTCCTGGTGGTGTAGATGGTGGCTTTTGCCAGGGCCAGGAGGAGGCTGACAAGGAGGTCCCACAACTTTGTGGGTGCATAAATGAAAAGGTGTGGGGGAAAGTGCAGCCAGAACCTCAGTAAGAGGTTCTAGAGGAGCCGGAATAGGTGCATTCTAGATATGTGCTCACGGCCCTGTGCAGGAGCTGCCAACTGATGTTCCCGATGGGCCGTGGAATTAGGGTGGAATATATGCTGGCCCATTGGGGTTCCCTACCCTCCACAGGTCTTAAATAGTCCCACCATTTGGTGTCAGGGTGGGACATGAGGGTGGGGAAATGCAGAGTGTGGAGCATGAGTGTGTACAGATGTTTTCTTGGCATGGTTTGGAAGCAGACTGGCTGCAGCTCTTGCAGCCGGCTTGGGGTCCAGGGATAGGGTGGGACAAATAATGACAAAACGGATCAAAATGTGGGGTCACAGGTTTAAAACAAGGGAACCAGATGGGGACACCAAGCAGAGAACCCCGGACAGCACCAACAGCTCCTCAAAGCTGTCAATGGAGCCAGTGGACGCTGCCCAGAGGAACTCTGCCCTGATACATAAAATCAAGGAGGAACAAAAGTAGGCCCCACAGTCCCAGAGCACCCCCTCATCCAGCATCCTCCTCCTGGTGGTGTAGATGGTGGCTTTTGCCAGGGCCAGGAGGAGGCTGACAAGGAGGTCCCACAACTTTGTGGGTGCATAAATGAAAAGGTGTGGGGGAAAGTGCAGCCAGAACCTCAGTAAGAGGTTCTAGAGGAGCCGGAATAGGTGCATTCTAGATATGTGCTCACGGCCCTGTGCAGGAGCTGCCAACTGATGTTCCCGATGGGCCGTGGAATTAGGGTGGAATATATGCTGGCCCATTGGGGTTCCCTACCCTCCACAGGTCTTAAATAGTCCCACCATTTGGTGTCAGGGTGGGACATGAGGGTGGGGAAATGCAGAGTGTGGAGCATGAGTGTGTACAGATGTTTTCTTGGCATGGTTTGGAAGCAGACTGGCTGCAGCTCTTGCAGCCGGCTTGGGGTCCAGGGATAGGGTGGCCCGCGGAACAGGGGCCCGATAATAATGGACGGAGGCTTTGCTGGAAGGGAGGGGTGGGGCATACCCTTTCACAGGGCTCTCTGCAGGAAATTGAGAACGGGCTGCGGCAAGTCTGCCTTTACCTCCTGGAGTAGGCACAGAGTAGTAGTCCAGGAGGTCCCCGACCATGGTGGTTTCTGCCAGGATCAGCCTTCGGCGCACCGAGGGAGACTCCGCCACCTGCACGCACAAGGCTGGATTGTGGAGCAGGGGCTCCGCGAGGAAGTCTACTCCGTGAGGAGATCTGCTCCCTCAGTGGCCACAACGGACCAGGTCGCTGAGAACAGATTCCAGGTCTAGAGGAGTTCCTGGTAGAATTCTGGCAGCTCTGAGAGGTCTCATGGAAGACCCCTCGGGTGAATAAAAAAGAGCTGCCAGTCATATTGG